CTTCTCAGCGGGGCCTCACAGGGTGGGGGGGGGTGCGCGTGGTGGGGTGTGCTTCTACCCACTCAGCCCTCAGGAGAGGACAGGGGACCTGCTGGCCCAAGGCCAGGAGCCTCCGGGCACTGTACTTGGGAATGTGTGAGGAGCACCCCAAGTGTGAGGAGCACCCCATCTCACGGAGCCAAACACGAAGTGGAGCCCCAACTGAGCAAAAGTTAGTGACTGCCTCTGCGCCCGCCAAGGGCCGAAGCCTGCCCTGTGGAAGTCTGGCCACTCCATCCCCCCAGGGACTGGGGAACAGGCGTTTTTTCAGTATAATGTTTTATTTGTATATCTTTTACATCCGTTAAGTTTTACACAATGTTTGCTTTCTCCTCTCAGGTACAGTCCCCCTAGAATCCCCACCCCGGCTCCCCCATGCACCACCATGACAGTCCCCAGTGCTCTTCCCGCCCCCGCTTTGACCCCTCCCTCTTTCCTGCAGAATGTCCCTGACTTATAGTTGTCTGTTTTGTTTTGTTTTGTTATTATTTTTACCCTGATCCCTTATTTGGTTCCCCTAGATTCCTGGCAGCATCTTTACAGACGGGATCAAGTCAAAAAGAGGTCACGCTGGGTTAGGATGGATCCTCATCCAGGACCTGGTGTCTTGAAGGGACATTCAGGCACGGAGGGAGGGCTGCGAGGACAGAGCCCGCCTGGACAGAGCCCGCCTGCACCCTCAGGGGGCGGACAGTGTGAGAGCCCCCCCCAGAAGCCCAGCCTGCAGACACCCCGATTTGGGACGCCAGCCTCAGGACTGACCTGTGAGCCTAAACCTCTGTTGTTTTCAAAGCGCCCCTCAGGGTGCTGTGCTGCCTGGGCCCCCGGGAAATGAACTCACCACCTTCACTCACCCCTCCCGCCCCACTCGCCAGATCACTCCCGAGGTTGGCAGAGGCCAGGAGAAAAGCCATAATGCCTCTTTTTTAGTAACTCTTATCAACAAAAAGAAAGCTCCACTTGGAATTTTTCCTTTTCTCAGTGAGCCTATTTTGGTTCCTACTAATCATTTTTAAGAGCTCTTAACACAAAAGCCAGAGATTTGTATCTACTTCTCTGAAACCTGCTTCCCTACAGTTTTATGCCAGCGTGTCTGGCTCTGGGCGCATTTGTGTCTTTCTCCACCCCTAAGGCTGGTCAGGACACACTTCTTGGGGGGGCTTCTCGGTCCCACTCCCGTGAACTCCACCGGCCTGCAGGCTTTCATCCCTCAGAGCTCCCCAGCACACGTTCTTGGGACCCAAGCCTCCCCCTTCCTCCACTTCCTCCTCCTCCTGAGACAGGGCAACCAGCAAGTCAGCTCTGGGACTGGCCCTGCCCTGGGAAAGTGAGTGGGCGGCCGATGTGGTGCTTCGCAGGGGACATGGGTCAAGCCGGTAGGCGTCCTGAGCAAAGGCGTCCTGAGCAAGGTTTATCTAGCGCCACACTCAGGTCAGGCAGCTGCCCGTTCTCCTGCCTCGGCCCCGGCCGCAGCACCTCTCTTTCCAGGTTCCCTGTCGTGGACAACCCCCTTAGCTTCGCTGCGTCTTGCTTTCTTCACCCATGGACCAGTGTTCAGAGACCGACATCAAGGTTCATGGAGGGGCTGTTAGAGGCGGGGTGCACAGCCCCTGGGAAAAAGCCCCCTTCAAAAAGGAAGCAGATCCAAAAAAAAAGAGGCAGATCAGAGACACTGGCTTCGACGGGCTGGCTCGACCTGACTGTCCCCCAACAGCTGAGTCTCGTGAAGCACAGACACACTTCTCCTTCACCCCCGAACACCCCGGTCACCGCCGCCCATCCATCCGTGACAGAGTGCCGCCTCGCCTCCCAGCAACACAAAGCCGGGTCTGATTCCACTTTTATGCACTAGGGCAGTGACCTTTCAAGAGAGAACTCAGTCATTAAGACATGAATTTAAGCCAGCTTCATGAGGGAGACAGGCTAGCAGAAACCAAAGGGAAAGAATCTGACAAGCAGGCGCCAACACGCTTTTGACCTGGGATGAAAGCATCCGTATTAGCAGGAGAATTATTCCTAAATACGATCTCTTTGGGGACAAGGACAGAGAGGGTAAAGAAAGAGGTTTTCCAATCGCCGCTAGCCACAAGTGGATTTTCTTCCAAGCCTTTCAGCTTATCTATTGTACCGCAGGCCTCATGCATTTTTCACAAGTCTCTTAGAATTACTGAACAAATTGCTGGAAGGGTAAGTGGCCTGGACCATTTCATCACCGAGGCAGGAAGGCCCAGCCCACCTCCATGGCGAGTGCTGAGCACTGGCCCTTCAGAGGGCCTGCTGCCCAACACCTAGAAAGGGACCTGGGTGTTCACAAGGGGAAGCCCTGTGCCTCGCAGATCCTCGGTGGCAGGCCAGGGGGAGGGCGGAGGATGTTAGATGGGACAAAGGGGCAGAGATGGCCAGATGGCCGCCAGCCCCAGGGGAGGGTGATGCCAAGACAGGCCATGGGCTCTCTGTGGGGCGGGGGGAGTTGACGTCTCCCCACGGAGCATCTGAGCCAAACGTGGGGCCCGAGATGAACTCCAGAGATGATACCATTTCCTCTGCAGTTCCATTTATGGACAGGAAACACGCAGGGGATGAAACAGGCGAAACATGCAGGCAGAGATCTCAAGTTCAAATCCTACCTCTGCCACTTCATGTTCATGCAAAACGGGCATTCTGAATAAAATCTACCTCGGGGGCCCTGGTGGGCAACAGGGAAATCATGAAGGTGAAACGAGCAACATAACACTGAGACGCTCCCCCGGGCTACAGTACATGGATCCTGGGGCCGAACCTGGCCGAGCCCGTCTTGCAGGCCCCGTCCGTCAGGTGGCACGCCAGAGCCACGCCGGCACCTGGCGCTGCCCGGGCCAGCCCTCCTGCTGATGCCAGAGCAGGACATGAGCCCTGGCAGTCCAGGCTCCAGGGGGCGCCCCGTGGATGGCATAGGCCCCCCACAGAGCCCACTATATGCCCACGGCCACCCACCAGTCCGGGAAGGGTGGGTGCCCTCTCAAGACTTGATCTGTGACTCTCAGGAGGTAATGGGGGCTCTGGCCACGCTCCCAGACCACGACAGGTCCCACTGTAGAAATTGGTGATCTACAGGTTAAGGACGTCTAGGATTTGCTTCCTAAGAAACAGGTGCACAGGCCTGGGCGAAATGGGAGGTGGCATGAGCTGCTTGGTGAGGCGGGCTGGTGGGGCCACGGGACTCAAGTATGCAGCGTTCTCAAGTATGTTTTGATTTTTCATAACAGCGAGTAGCCAACTCCTGCCTTTCTGCAGCCTGGCTGACCCCCAGTCGTGCCCGAAGCAAATTTAAACCCCAACACTATCTTTCAGGAAGGAGCCCGAAGCAGCTACCCAGAACCCCAGGAAGTGTTAAATTATGGTAAAGAGGGCCATCGATAACGAATCAAAATAATCACGATTGGGAACATTTCAAAGTGCCAGCAAGGGCCACTGGCCCAGGACTCGATGTGTGCACCCCGCTGAAGGAGGCTGCCCTTTCTCTGACTATAAAAACCCTGTGAGGTCAGATAGAAACTATAAAACCCTTAGAAGAATCTTGGCATTCGTCCTCATGACCTTGGATCACACAGTGGTTTCTTGGCTACGACGCCAGAAACGCAAGCAGGAAAACATAACGAAGTGGAGATCAACATGGGGACCTTTTGTGAGTTGCGGTCACCCAGCCCAGACCCGGGGCGGGCTCCCCTCTCTCACGGAGGGGGTGCTGCCCGCTGGGCTGTGTGCCCCAGAGCCCCCTGCTCGCCCGACCGCCAACTGCAGAGCCGGGTCTGAGGAGGTCCAGGATGGATGGGGCGCCCTGGGGGAGGGGGAGCTGGCCTGGAGGAAGGGGGCACACAGAAGCCAGACGCCCCTTCTCTGCTGGCCTGGGCTCTCTCCCCTGTGAAGGGGCGCGCTGTGTGGAGGTTGCAGGCAGCTGGAGGCCAGCAGACCTGGCACCCGCGCAGCCTCCGTCTGCAGCTGCACACGCGTCCATGGGTGGGCCCAGGACCGGAGAGGGGCTGGGTCGCAGGCTGAGACGGTGGGGGCGGCCCGGGCCTCCTGTAGAAGAGCAACATCGCCTGTGGGTCTCCAGGTCCTGGCACTGGAACAACGGGCTCCTGGCAGTCCCATCTCAGCAGGCACTAAGGGAGTGGCCCTGATGCAGGCTCCCCACAAGGGCAGGCCCGGCCGACCCCAGAATTTGAAACTGGAGGAAAGGAGAGCATGGATGCTCATCAGCACCAGGGCCTACTGCGAATCTACTAGTTAAC